CGCCGGGCCGGGCGTCGGGGGGTCCAGCGTCGCGACGCGTGACGCTACCACGAGCGATCCACCGGTGCCAGATCCGAACCGCACGGTATCCGATCCTCAGGGCGGGCAATGGTGATTAGCGGTGCCCGGCAACCGGGGACAGGAGAAGGTCGCGGTTGTGAATCACGGGTGACGAGACGCTACCGCCGGACTAGATCCTGGCGAGGCCGCGAGACTTGCGAAAAAAAAACGACGGAGAGAAAACCGCAAGGAAAAGGAAGAGAGGAAAAAACACCACCCGCCGTGCGGTGCGCGGAGAGGGTAACGTGACGGCAACGCACTTGCGAGATTAGATACACGTGGTGACGTCATCATAGGCAGAGATGGAAAATTTCATGAAAATGGACCACTAGACAAGGTTCGAATTTCAGCATTCTGATACATGAATCTTAACCAAAATTTCACGTAGAATACGACGCGCATAACGAAAATTACCGAAATCAACTCCTAACTAAGATATTTAATGATTATTGATGCGTAAATTCAAACCACCCGCTCACGAAAACTCAATGCTCTGCGTGATTCACATCGCGCGCTAATTGTTATCATGACAGTCTCTGCGATATAAAAATCTGGCAACCTCAATCTTGACGCTTTGGTTCAGCTGTAGCAAATTGCTTATAGTTTGAACAACACATGATGGGAAATGAACATTACTCGATTGAGGCTTGTTGAAACCGTCGTAGTGCGCGATTTGACTCACGTAGAGCTTCGAGTTTCTTGTGAGCGGGCAGTTCAAATCCCTCGTGACCAATGTGACATAAAAACGTTAATATTTTCGTTTGGAGTTTGCTTCATTGGTTTTCGTTGCGCAAATCGTGCTCTACGTGAAATTCTGGTTAAGAAACATGTATCAGAATGCTTGAATTCGTACCTTGTCTAGTGGTCCATTCAAAGCAAATTAAAGAAAGCAGTAAAAATAATTCTACGGTGCCCCGGCGTGTTTTAGAAAGTTAATTCACCTTTTACGAGATTTTTAGGGTAAATTTTTCACTCTTCCTTACGAGACAAGGGTTACATGTGAATTTGAAATAGTGTATCATGGGCGGCAAGGGCCCCTCCAAGGTCCGGGCCCCGACACCATGGACCCAGTATCCTCACCCTTGTGGCGGGCCTGCAGCGAAGGGGATGGGGTTTGCCGATTGGCCTGACTCATTGTCAGCTTCGTGCATTGCCTTGCTCCGTGGGCTCGACCGTCGGGTTTTGATTGGCTTTTAGTCCCCTCAGAAACGATTTCTTCAATTTTTTCATTAACTTCTCGGTTTTTTTCAAGAGATTTACGTAGAAAATTATCCAAAACTGCGAAAATTCCTTGCCGCTACCCCCATTGTATAAAGTGAGGCCGGAGGACCAGAGGAAGAAAGTTTCAGTCACAGAAACCGGACTTCAGTTAAGCTAACCGAAATTCAGTTCCTACTTTCAAAAACTTCGGTTTTCTGAACCGAAAAACTTCGAACCAAAGTATTGATCTCAAAGTAGGGACATTTTTGCATGGGGTCTTTAAAAAAGGGTGTTTAAGTTAGAGAACTTTGAAAGTAAAAGTATCCAGCTGTCGCCAAGAGCTTAATGGAGAGGTTTAGAGTGATAACTTTCAGTTTCAGGGCTCCAATACTCAACTTGTTTCTTGACCAATGACCTAATTCTGCCGTGCTAAGGAAAAACGCCGTGGAACATTCAAGAGTTGCCAAATTTGCTACGATACAATTTTCATTTCGGAAGAAAGCTATGGATATTTTTCCTTGGAATTTTTAGGAAATTTAGGTAAAATTGTGAACAAAATTATATGAAAAGTTTGAGAAAAACCGTTTTAAAAATTTCCCGGAAATTCGTAATTTATCAGAGGAAATTTGGGCTCTTGCGGCGGTTTTCCTTAGCATGGCAGTATTGTGAAGAGACGCCACAAACTTTTTTCTTAGAAAACGCATTGGAAGGCGCATTTATTTCCTCTCGAAATCTCGTAAATTACGAGAACCGACAACAGAGTGCTCTGTTACTTTTTTGCGAGCCCCCTCCCCCCCCTNCCCCCCCCGCCGCTCCAGTCGTTAAAATACTGAGGCCGCCTCCTGAGCCATGGACAGCGCTCAGCGCCGCGCGCCGCCGCCGCGGCATAATATCATCGGTGCCAGAATCGTCTCATCTGCAGAGCAATCGATACAGCCTCTGACCCTTCCTGATGCTCCACCGATTACTGTCACGTTTCCCATCTGGATCAATCTGTACTGCCGTGCTAAAGAAACACGCCGTATGAGCAATCAGGCGTTGCCAAATTTCCCATGGAAGATCACTAATTTCCAGGACAATTTTTCAATGTATGTCTACCAATTTCTTAGATAATTTTGTTTGTAATTAGATCTAAAACGTCTGAAAATTTTACGGAAAAATATTCATGATTTTCTTCAAAAATAAACATTTCATCGAATGAAATTTGGCAACTCTCCAAAGTTCATACGGGGTTATTCCTTGACACGGCAGTATGCGCAGGGCCGGATTTAGGGGGTGGCCACATGGGCCGCGGCCCATGGCGGCAAATTTAGGAGCGGCAAATGTTGATTTTTTTTTTTTTTTTTTTTTTCAATTTAGGTATTAAAAAAAAAAAAATGAATTCAGAAAAAAAAAATACAAACGAGAAAAGGCGACAAAATTTCTCATTTCCTGAGAGAAAAGTAATTTTTAATTTTGACGTCTTTCGGTGATATAAGAGGCAGCACCTTTAATTAGTCGAGTTAAGAGAGAAACCAAACACCCAATTTGGCCTGGAACAGCGCGGCGTAGAGAGCAATGATGACGAGGACTTGAGATGAAAAGGAGAAGCCCTCGGCGTGGCGATCGGCATGTAACACGTATCAGCGCCTACGAGACTACATGAATACTTCACGCATTGCGTCAGACGCAATGCGGTCAGCAGCGGTCGGCGTGAAACGCATAGCGCCTACAAGACTGCATGAATACTTCACGCATTGCGTCAAAAACAGTGCGGTCAGCAGCGGTCGGCGCGAAACGTATAGCGCCTACAAGACTGTAGGGATACTTCGCGCATTGCGCCAAATAGAAATACAGTGCGGTCAGCGCAGCGCGGCGGCGGGAGTTAAAATTATTAAACCACATAAGATGTTTGTTCTTTCATAATTTTTTCGTTCAATACTTATAAATGGAAGGCCTTGTCCACACAGGGATAGGTTTACCAGAACTTAACTTTCGCGTAAAGTTTCGTGAACTTTTGCTAGCAGTGTTGACAAGGATTTCGCAAAAAATGTGTCCAACACGAGTAAACGCGTCCCTTCCCCTCCGGCACGTTCACTTGATGGTTTTTATTGATGTTTCAGGACGAATTAGAAGGGGGCGGCAACATATATGCGGCCCATGGGCGGCAAGTAGGTAAATCCGGCCCTGAGTATACGTCACCGATGGGTTGGGAGACGTAGAGTACCTGTTTACGGGAGAGTATTGCCATCTCAATCCTTTCACTACAGAAAAAGTGTGCCGCTCTCTGATTGTTCGGCTATCAGGGAGCTCCAAAGTTTGCCCAATGTAAACAAACAAGTTAGCCGAAAAGTTCTACAAAGTTCTAGACGTGATTTTGGGTGTGATAGAAATTTTTTTCATATCCAACTTCTTAACTGAGTTCGGATCGAATTTTGATGAATATTTTTGCTTAAAATGAGACTTTGAGTGTGATTATCATTCATTTCTCAGCCGATAATATGAGTTTCTTGGGTTTTTTTTTTACATTGGTCCAACTTTGGAGCTCCATGATAGCCTGAAACTGATGAACCAATCAGAGAGCGGCACAGAGATGGCAATAATCTCCTGTATACAGGTGCTCTAGGGAGACGACTGGACGCACTTTCAAGGAAAAGATATATTGACCGATGAGTCCAACAGAGCTAGGCTGGCATTTCTCCACATTTTACTTTGTGATGACCTCTGATCCAAGTGGGCATGGGTCCTTTAAAATCGTTTAACCGAATGAATTCCACCTTCTGGAGAAATTTTTAGCTTTACCTGCAGCAAATTTTCCTCTGAGAAACCAAAAATACAAATTGACTTTACCCAAATAACCATTAGAATTCCGTGTTTTGAAAATCCAATCATGCTGTTTGAACTAAGGTAACCAAGTTAACTCCCACTCTTTCGCCCACCTTAAAGCAGTATTAGAGTGAATTAATTGAATTTAACCATTTTAAACTTTTCAACCCTGAAGCGGCATTAAAATGACAAAATCCTAGAATTGTAATTTTTGGCCAAAAATTGTAATTTTTTTTTTAATACTGGAAAAATCAGAGATCAGAGATCAGCTCCCAGAACTAGATAATTCCAACAACGAGCCACTGCAATTGCCAGCCAAATATTAAACCCGCCCAGAGCTCATACATCATATCATGTCCAGGACCTTTGGAAAGGACAAAAATAAAAGCAGTTCCACCATTGCTACATACGTTATCACAATATAAAAATATTTGAAGCATGCATAATAATTGAGAGCTAGAAGATTAATTATAATTATTAACTTAATTTCGTAAGAGTAGTTGGCCTAACTAGGAAGTAAGCTCTAATGCTAAGCTCTAAATGATTAGAAAATTCTTGGAAAATTAATGATTGATGAAATAAGAAGTGTGGTCTGACGACGAGAGGAAATCTGTTACAAATTCTTTTCAGACAATCCGTAGATCATAAAAACCATTTGGTTCTTATAAAAATAAGACAAAGTAAGAAGAGGCCTCATTTGCATCAGTCACATTAAATGACCATTTATAAATTCTATCGTTCCTTGGAGAATGACAAAATTGCTCTGATTTCATTTCATGCATAGTTTTCAGAGATAGTCTCACACTTTCTCTCTTTCGGTTTGACATAATACTAGATAATACTTGAAACAATTAAGGGAATAGACAAATTGTTAGGCCAACTGAATTTTACAGCTATGTCATAATGACTACTTAAGAAACACAAATCATACACACCCCAATTTCGGAACGGACGAATGATGGTTCTGAAATGATTGTGATCGTGTATGAAGGTTGTACATGGATTTGGTAGCAAGTCTAAAAGCAAAAAATAAAACCAAAAAACAATACTACATGCACAACAAAATTAAGATAAGTAAATACTTAAAATAGTTTAATGAAGCTAAAAACTTGAGGAAGGATTATTATCAGACATTAATTCAAATCTGGAGACGGGAAGTCTCTCGGCCTAATTTACTTGAGACTAAAACCAGACTTAAAAAACTGAAGGAACTAGAAGTAAAAATTTCATTTGACAACTTTAAGGAGAAAAGGAAAAATAAAATTATTGAGAGCAACGGCTTGAAAAATTTGTACTACACTGAGATGAAATGGGTCCTGGAGTCTTGCATTGCGAAAAGAGGGAAGCACCCAGGAGTATAGAAAAGTAAAAACTAGAGATAAAACTAAAATTGAGGGTAAAGTTATGTAGAAACGAGCTGAACTAATTTCTTGCAAGTAATATTTAACATGCAAATTGGAAGATTTAGGGAATGAGTTGAAGGTCCTCAGGCACATACGGACGTAAATGGGAAGATGAAAAAATGGGATTTTGGAAGGTAAAAATCCTTAAGCATTTTACTCTTAAACTATACGGGAAACGCCAGACAGCATGAAAGATGGAATAGTGTTTCAAATGAAACTCCTGAATGCAGGCAACATATTTAACTCTATGGACGCGCAGATTGCCTATGCAAAATACTGAAGGCTCTTTATAAAGCTGTCAATCTAGTCGGCTGGTAATGTAACGAACCTTACGAATTTACTAATCTCAGTCGAATTTCGCATTTGTTGCGGAATTTCGGAGAAGATTTAAAGGAGCACACTATAATGAAGTAAGTACGGGTTGTATTAACTGTGAAAATTTAACATTTTCATTTTTTATTTTTAAGAATTTGTTAAATCCAGTGACGTTTCACCGTTCTCTTCCAAATAAAATAATGATTTTCAAATGTTGGCATTTTCTGTTTTCACTTGGGCAGATTTTTCAGCGAATTCTTTCTTGGTTCTAAAAATTAGAATAAGAACAAAAAATCAACTTTTTAAGTGAGAACCATGCGCAGGGCTAGCATTCAAAAAACAAGGGCTGAAGTTCAACATGATCACTTTTTCTTCAAGCAGTTATCATCCCATTAAGATTAAAATAACCATGCTTGTAGTTTTTTCAAACTGTAGGTACTAAAAAGGAGAAGAAATTGTATTTTTAGAACTAGGATTAGAGGGGTAAGAACATGCGAAACGTAATCATGGCAAAATCACAAAAACACATAGATACTTAAAGTTGGATCCTGCATAGTTAGACTTCATGATATTTCAGCTCAAATGGTACCTTTTGTTTGACTACAATGGCAAGCGTAACAGAAAAAGATTAGGATCTTGGATTTTGCTAAACCCTGAATACTAAATAGTCAAAATCAAATGGAAATTCTGGAATTGAAATCGAAATTCGATCTTTCAGAAGATGTAATAAAACATGTGTGGAATCAAAAGTACACAGAGTCATTGAAACGTTTTCATTATGAGGTGCCTTCATATGCAATGATGCATTTCACAAAGAGCCGAATGAACGCATGATAATACAATTTTTAGGTGAAAATCCTTTCAATTATTGACATTCTAAAGGAGAAAAAATTGCAAACTTGCTTGTTTGAATAAAAAGTAACACCATCAGGAAAACATTGCAATAAATTTAAGTATGAACGCTTCAACTCACACAATTTGAGAAATTTTAAGTGGAAACCGCGATAAAAAAACTGGCGGTAGGCGTTTGCGGTATATTTTTCGAGGAAAATATTTTTCCTCTTTGAAATTTTAGGAACCTAATTTTCGTATATATCACGGAGAAAAAAACTTTGTGCGTAGGACCCGAAGTTAAGGTCATATGGATCTCTGAAGTTTTCTGATCACGTATCTAAAAACTTAAGGTCCAGCTGCCGAAGTTCGGGTCAGACATCTGAAGTACCTATATGTACTTCGATATATACCGAAGGGTTCGGGTCACACATCTGAAGTACTTCGGCATCGGTACATATCGAAGTGCCTCGATGTCTGACCCGAACTTCGGCAGCTCGCCCTCAAGTTTTCGGATGCGTGATCAGAAAACTTCAGAGATCCATACGACCTTGACTTCGGGCCCCATGCACTGTGAGTTTTTTTTTCTCCGTTTCAGAATGTGTTTTTGCCATTTAGCCATTAGATTGGATAAGTTCTATTCTATTGAAAGGGGTAAATAAACAAGTCCAAATGCATTTGAGTTTATAAATATCCAATCTATGCTCATTTAGAGTAGACTCCTTACCTTGAGGGAGGTGCTGTGTTCACATTGGCAGGTACATTGTTGAAATCTCCGGTAGAGCTCCATCTTTTGGCCGTGTGGAGGTTGGTGTTTGTGGAGGGGCTTTTGAGGATGGATGTGGGGGTGGTGGACGGAGATGGGGATGTGGGCACGGGGGAGACACTGCTCGAACTTGGCGAGTCCGAGTGGAGGGAACCTGTTGATTGATAATGAACCGCTCGTCTGAAATACAAGAGAGGATCAAGTTTAAAAAGTTAATAAGAAAAGTCTGTTAACCCTATTGGACAACTTGACAGAAATGGCTGGTCCCCAACAAAATCCATAGTGGCATTATTCGGTTTAAGGAGGACACAGAAGTGCACGGAAAAAATCGAATTGCTGATTTAACAATGAAATTGCTAGAAAAAAGTGACTGCAATGTTTCAATGTAAATTTTACGACAAAAAAATGATGCTTTAACCACTATTGTAAGCTAATTAACCAGGGGGTGGTTAAAATAGCATTAAATTGTTGTAAAATCTACATTGAAACATTGCAGTCACTTTTTTTTTGCAATTGGATTGTTAAATCAGCAATTGAATTATTTCCGTGCGATGCAAATCGAGGGTGAACGAAAAATATCGCCTAACCAACAATTTTGGCAAAAATGAGTTAGCGACTTTGCAGGATTCTGCGGTATAAAATACGCAAGCTGACTGTGAGATTTCAGTTTTTTACCAATTCTGTAGGAAAGCGCTTCGGTGATGCTGTAATGTATGAATAAATTGCAAATCTAACCTTAAAATTACGAAAATGGCGAAGTTTTTTCCTCGATCTGCAAAATCGTAATTTTGCAGAAAGGCGGTATTGTTCGTTAGCCACCGAAATAGAATACTGCCGTGCTAAGGAAAACCGCCGTATGAACCTTCAGGTGTTGCCAAATTTCCTTTGATAAAACGCGAGTTTCTCGGTAAACTTATGAATATTTCCCTCCCAATTTTTCAAATATTTTTGTTCGCAATTTCGCCTGAAGATTCTGAAAATTTACAGGAAAAATATTCTTAACTTTCCTCGAAAATAAACATTTCATCCAAGAAAATTTGGCAACTCTCGAATGTTCATACGGCGTTCTTCCTTAGCACGGCAGAATATGGAAGCTGTACAGAGAGCACATTCTTATTTCGCCTTCAATTTTTGAGGTAGGCCAAAAAGCACACTCCATACAGTATTTCGAGTTGGGGACTTGGTCTTGCGATGTTTTCTTCGCCTCACAGTAAATTATTTTAAATTCCAAGGGACGATTATAATGTAGCCTCTGTCCGTCTATTGCAGTCCCTATGATAGACAACACATGCAAAAAATAATTATTCACGCCTGAATTTTTTTGAAGAATCGCTCCGCCGTTCTCCCCACGAAATAACGTAACTCCAATTCAACGTTGCCAAATTTCCCCTCGCCAATTGCATTTTTACTAGGAGATTCTTGGATATTTCTGACTGAAAATTTCACTGATTATTCTTCATGCAAAAACCAGACAAAATCAAATCATTCCAGACAAGAGTTTCACATGCAATTTTTTGCAAGAAATTTAATTGTTTAAGTTAATTTTGCAACCCTGAAATGAAGTTACGTTCCTTCGTCTGGGAAACGACGACTAAAGTGGCTAGCGAGAATGATCGATCATCGATTCTTCCCCATTTGAAGCTATGGTAAAGAATCGATTATTATTGTGAAAGCCCTGTTTATCGATACTTTTTCATAGGTTTAAATGACAGATCAATCGATATATCGATAAGCGCGCCACGCCACTGGACTTGACACTTCTTCCTTGGAGCTCATTCAGAAGATTCTGAAAATATTTCTATCAGACACACGTAAGTCCATCGGTTGATACGACTTATATAATCTTTTGAGCCAATCATAATTATGTGAGAAACATTTTCCCTTCCAACATCAAGTACCTAACACTGAGTGCGGAAAATACTTCTGTAGTTTTTTACTTCTTCTCAATTTATGGCTAATTGTTTTGAGGTATTCCCCTTTAAGTGTTTCCCAAAAAAGTTACACACATATATATTGCATAGATCATGAAGGCAAAAATTGAGATGATTATTTTTCTCACCTTTGCGGTAAAGTTGAAGGGGTATAACTTAAAACTCTACGAACAGGATCCCTGTTATTGGCATCAGCTACTGGGCGATATCGTACTGCCTCCTTGTGTAATGAGTTGAAGTTGTTCGCTGCTTGTGCACTTTGGCCTTAAAAACGAAAGGAGAAAAATTGGTCAACATAAATGGAAAATACATTGAAGGGTTATAGGACATTTCGTCAACGATTTTTTGTCCGCGCACCTATTTTTTCCAGTAATTTACGTCCACGCATTTTTTTGGCACGGGAGTTTTGGTCCACGTGCCTGTTGAGACCCAAAGTTAATTGGCCCACTTGTAAATACAAACAAAAATTGCTCACGACGTTTTTGGATGAAAATGTAAAATGTCCTGTAAAATGTCATGAAATGTAATGAAGGTCCTTGACTGGGTTCCTCCTGGGAGAAGACGCAGAGGGCGCCCAATGAAAGGTTGGAGGGAAGGGATTGAAGCGGAAATGTTAAGGTGCTCAATCCCCCAAGATATGTGGTTTGAAAGAGAGCAGTGGAGGTTAGGGGTCGTAGAGCGCGAGGGAGTGCTGTAAAGCGACCTGTATGTATGTATGTAAAATGTCTTGGAAGAAAGAGGGTTTGCTTGTTTTTTTGTTTTATCTGTTTGGTTCAACGGAGAATAATATATAGTTGAGAGTTTTGGTAAAAATGGGGGAGCGTTAATTCCATGAGACAAAATTCACTAAAACTCTCTACACCTCTTTGGTGTAACAGGACTTAATTATTTTACAAGATTTTCCCACCTTGTTATGCATGAACCGGATGAACCTCTATATTTGCCTCAGCTAAAGGCTCTTAGATTTTTCCAGTTTACGATAAGTATCTTGATTTATTTTGCGAGGAAAGATCTGTACTTTTAAAGAATGCCTGTCATATTCTCAATACGTTCAATTTCGTATAATACTGTGCGACACCTCTGTTGTGAAATAGTCGCTTCAGGTGCCGCCGCACGGCGGGCGGGCGGCCAGCGCGAAACGCGCATTGGCGCCTACAAACCTAAGTAGATACTTCAAGCATTGTGCAATGCGTGAAGTATCCACTTAGGTTTGTAGGCGCCAGTGAGCTTCTCGCGCCGCTCCGCTCTGTTGGGCTTTTCCATTTATACTCGCATAGTCAGCGTTTTTTAACTCATGATTTTGAAATGTTTGCACACTCTGCATTGATTATTCTCATTTAAATTGATGGGAAAAAATATGTAACAATTTATCAAAGGAGAATAATAATATAATATGTGTTTTTCAAATATTGGTGGTTCCGTGTTTTTGGTCTTATAACAACTTAAGTGCGATCTCAAAATTTGAAAAAAATGACAAGTGGCTGAAATAATGGAACGAATTGATGCGATGTATCGCACGTCGCTCTGACACAACAAATGGCAACCGTCGAATCACCTTAATGCAAGAGGGGAATTTTTGTACCGATTCGAAGAGGCCACGTATGGTAGATTAAAACACACTTACTTCTGACAACTCCTCCATTTTTAATTCCTACATTTTGGTTGTAACTTCTGAGACTTTCCAGCTGGTTCAGCCTTCTGAGAACGTCGGCCAAAGTTGAGCGGAGGCATACGACTTCGTCTCCGTAATCGAGCACCTTCTTCTCCAGCTCAGCAACTCGTTCACGGAGGGTTTCGTTCTCATTGTCGATCATGTCATCTGAGAACAAAAATTCATACAAATTGGTAAAATTGTCAAAAATTTGGGATAAAGAAAAAAAAAGATCGGAGACAAAATTGACCCGTCATAGAAAAAATAAAAAAAAAAAACACACACACACATCAAAACCGGGACTTTCTTGCCTTTCTTTGCCCGTGACAGCATTCAAAAATTAAATAATCGGATTAAATTTTGCAATAAGGAACCACTATCCCTGGCTTTTCCGTAAAAGCACCTCTTTACATAGGTAAACCAATGGCATTTAAGCTGTTTCTAAAATCAGCCAGGAATAGTAGTTCCCTATTGCAAAATGTAATTTTGCAAAATGTAAGTTTCGTAGATTTTCATCCGGAGGTCTTGAATACTTACTCCATGCTTTTGAGACGACGCTGAGACTATCAGGAGCGCCGTTCGAGGCGGTTGACACGTCATCCTGACTGTTGACCATGATTCCGGCCACAGGATCAAAAATCCATTATGAAGACTCCAAATATATCCTCTCGATCATCACTCGATCTATCGCACTCGGCGGGGTGAAAAGTCTTTCCTTGATTTTCATAATCCTGCCAAGTTGGCAGTAATTATTGACACTCAATTTTCATGGACGAGTTCCTTGATTGGGAAGAGAGTGTGGACGTAAGTTACATGATTTCATTCTCTGAGAGCTTTTTTAAAATCAGAGGCTACTTGTTCCTTCTTCAATGTATATATTTCTTTTTTTGCGAGAAAAAAAAGCGTAATGAAATTAGCGCAGTCAGATCTGCCGTACTAAGGAAGAAAGCCGTATGAGCCTTTAGGCGTTGCCAAATTTCCTTTGGTAAATCACGAATTGCCGGGAGAGCTTGTAAATATTTTTCTTCCAATTTTTCAGAAAGATTTGTTCCCAATTTAATTTAAAATATCGATTAATTTTAAGGAAAAATACGCATAATTTTCTTCAAAAATACACGCTTTATTCGAGGAAATCTGGCAACTCTTGAATGTTCATACGGCGTTCTTCCTTAGCACGGTAGAGATGGACTGAACGTTCGGTGTTTCACAGCATTCCATCTAGTCGGTTTGTCAAACTGAACTTTCAATTTGTGTGACCGCATTTCTTTTCACTTTACCCCGTAAGACCGGTTAAATGAGCTGAGCGCTTCGTTACACGAACACAGTTACATGAACATGTTTCATGTTAGTTACATTGAAACTCCGGTTCACCAAACCGAACATTCAGTTCATATAACTGAACTTTTTTTCCGAAGCGTACAGGAAGAAGGAGAGTTTTCACTCTTAAAATACACTGAAGAAGTCCTTTAGCGGGGCTAAATATTCTAAGTCAAAACCAGTGGCGCTGCGTGATTTGCGATACATCGATTGATCTGCCTTATAAACCTATGGAAAAGTATCGATAAACAGGGTGTTCGCAGCGACCACCATGATAATCGATTATTTACCACGGCCTCAAATGGTTAAATATCGATAGATCGAAAAGCACGCCACGCCACTGGTCAAAACTTCGCGCTCGTCGCTACGTTGATTTGCAAAGTTCATTGGTGAGAGTAGCTCTGACTTTAGAAAGCTGAGAACTTTGGAGAAGTGGAATAACCCTACAGTAGTCTTTTTGGAAGAAAGTCTGCACAGAGTTCATGGACTAAGAATCCGGGACGTCACATCATCGACGCCATTACCACAAACGCTTGATTGCGTACGATGAGCCGTAAAATAACCAATTTAGTTCCGCATCAATTGCCTGACATTTTGGACAATAAATTCTGAAGGGTTGATCCTAACGATACACTAAAAGTCTCATACAAAGTTGAAAAACGACACAACAATCATACTTCGGACGAAGCAGCCTTTATGAAGCGATGCCTTTTTATTTGAGCACCTTGAAGTAAGCAAGATGAGAGAAACGGAGAGAGGGGGAAACGAGTAGGGGAGTTGAAATCTATATTAAAGCGTTAGATAAATTCCGGAAATTTGTCCTTCTTTACAATGATTATTTTGACCTAATTCGACATATTTGTGACGATATGTCAATGGCAGTTTTTCGAAGAAACCATCGTTTAGGTCACCCGATGACGATTCAAAACCCAAGCGCTGACTTATCAGAGGTGGACGAGCAAAAGAATTGGAAAAATTACCCTTATCGAAATAAGGGTTGCTGGTCAGGTTGGCCTAGCGGTCAGCGCGTCTAATAGGGTCCGGATTCGAATCCCGGTGGTGGCGACAAATTTTCACGGAACTGAAGAGTGGATCTGCAGAAACAGATTCTACTCGGCCTTAATCCCTGAAAATTTGAAGGCCGGAGCATGGCTGTGCCAAAATCCCTTGACGTCAACTGACAATAAAAAAATAATCTCTACGTTAAACTCTTGTCTACATATGGCTGAAGATTCCTAAACTGGAATAGAAGCCAAATAACCAGAAAAAAAGAAAAAAATAGACGTTATGGTACTTTCAAGCATCGAAATTGAAAAACCTTTAAATTCGCGGTTTTTCGGCGATTTGGCAGGAGCGCATTTCTCGGTTAGCCAGCACTGTCACTCCGCTGTGTGAGGCACGGATGCTGTTCGGATGTTTACAAACAAGGCGTAACAGTATCCTTGTCCGATCGGTACCCCCCCCCCCCCCCNCTTGAAAGGGGGGGGGGAGCGCCTCCCAGGCGGTTGCCCGCGATTGTCACGTTACACCGCGCCGGCCGTATCGGCAACCCTCAAGCACGCAACCGTATAAACAAACACGCCGACTCACTCCGTAGTAAACACTTTCACTTACGAGCCCTCCCGTCTCATCACTAACGAGAGTTTATCGGTTTCTGGCGGTAAGAGATTTATGGCCTCCTTCCGATCAGGGCGGATGCCGATTGAGACATTGAGATCTCCCGAGGCGCGGACATTACGTTGTTTCATCGGCCTTTACGAGATTCCGTTCGATTGTATCATGAAATTGACCTAAAGCCCTGGATGGACGATCAAATTCCGAACCAATTCCGATCAAACTAGACATGCAGATGACTGGTGGTCACCATCTACCATCAAATTTTGACGGGCCGCACTTTTTTGTTCAAAGTAAGATCAGAGCGGAGTGCCACCATTCATCATTTCCTGCCACAGTAAACATTTCTGCCAAGTTTTCATTTTAAAATGAAGCAAATTAATGAGTTTAAGACTGATGACTCCCGACACTTTGATGCTACTTTGATCGGGATTGGTTCGGAAATTTGATCGTCTATCCAGGGCTTAAAAATTACCTTAAAAATAACCTATTAAAAGATGAGCCACCTAAAAAAGTAAACGGTCAGTATAGCTTTGAATTTGAGGACTTTCTACTTGCAGCTCCATCGCTGGAAAAATAAGTCTCTTGGATCCGGAGTCCATACTCTTAAAAAAATTAACAAGAAAAATGCTCTTGATTCAATCGGATTTTTACTTGAATCGAGAGCCAAGCCTCTTAGTGTAAGCGGATTTCCTTCTGATTCGAGCGAAAATCCGACTGAATCGAGAGTATTTTTTCTTGACAATTTTTTCAAGAGTCTGGACTCTGGATCTATGCTGCTGTGCTCAGGGAAAACGGCGTATGAACCTTCAAGCGTTGCCAAATTTTCTTTGATAAAACTTAAATCCCCTGGTAGACGTATGAATATTTTTGTTTCAATTTTTCAAAGAATTTTGTTCGTATTTTATTCTAGAGTTCCTGAAATTTTAAAGGAAAAATATTCATAACTTTCCTCCAAAATAAACATTTTATCAAAGGAAATTTGGCAACGCTCGATTGTCCATACGGCGTTTTTCCTTAGAACGGCGGTATGAGACTTTTCTTTCCGGTGTAGGACAAAACTAGTAGCATCATCTTTTTCACGTATTCGGTAAGATAGCGATTCCAGTTCTGTACATAGACTATTAACTTCACGCTGTTGCGTCACTTTTACGTTACGTTACGTTACGTTAAGTTATGTTACGTTACACGACTTCGGCATATACTTTGTCTCGTCAGAAGATTCCGCGTTGAGTGATGAGATGCTGTCAAGGACCATAATGGGAGAGCTACATGTTCATGTTTTGGAAGGAGAGGTCTTCATGGGTGACGAGTAAACAAATTGGTTAATCCAATTGAAGTCTGGGCCGGACGGCCGGAAGCTGCAATAGCTGGAGGAAGAAGTCGGTCAAAAAATAAATTAAGACCTAGGTCTCACTCTGAAGACAAAGATGAAAAGATAAATGAACGGACGGAGACAAAATAACACATTAAGTCCGAACTACTCATGCGTAAAATGATACATTTCCTCGCTGAGATGAAATGAACGTTAGCATGAACCCGTTGTCTCAAGCCCAGAATTCCTCTCTCTACCAAGGTAGATTTACACAGGTATGGAAAAGTTGAAAATTTCTCATGAGCCTCAGTACGTGTCACATGACCTCGTGACGTAGGTTAAGGGGCCCGTTTTTTAATTAAATTACAATCAAATTAACATTCAAACGTTTGTGCGTTTAAACGCTAAAATTAATATCATATAACCAAAAGTGTGCAAAAAATCCCACAAAATTTTGACAAACGATAAACCGAACATAATAAATCAAAATAATCAAAACATCCAAAATGGCTGACGTTAAGGGGCCGCTGGAGAGCCAATCAGAGGCCAGTTGTTTAGTTCTGTCCATACCTGTGTAAATCTACCTTGCTCTCTACTTTAAGAAAGGTTATCTTCATGGAACTTTGACCGTCACTGCTCTTTATTGAGCGTGAACGAACATTGCCTTCTTCACCCTTAAGTACAGGCCTCCGCGCATGTTGAAAGTTCAAATATGAATAATTTCAAGTTCTTCTTCACTTTGGAGGAAAATTCGCGATAGTTGATTGCAAAATTGATAATTTCTGGATTTTAGAACATGTCTACAAGAATTTCTGAGCATAACGCCACGTTAGGTATTTGTACTTAAAGTTTGACCGAGAAACACTTACGGTATTTGCGATATTCACTCTGGACGTGCTCTTACTTAATTTTTTGTCATTAA